GACAGAGTTCAACGGCTTAGGACAGCATATTGAATATAAAGGATCGTCCTGCCTACCCCCTATCTCGTTCTAGACGAGCGATGGAATATTCAGAACCTTCTCCGTTTCCCGTTCCCGATAGTTGTACCGGTGATCGGCACGCACGCTACCAACAGCATGTATGCGCCATTTTTACCGCCATACGTCGTCCTCACAGTCTCCGGTATTTACGAAGATGTCTAAATCAAGAACGAAGTGGACATAGACAGTGTTGAAATCAGCTAACCCCGAGACGAGATATTTCTGGGAAGGGAGTCAGGAGTGTAATACTGGGCTCGAGCGTCGAGTATACTTAGTCCGAAACGATGTCTGCAGAGTTGCGGAGTACCTTCTTCAGTGGACCCGGCAGGGTTACGTAGACGGGAGATGCGGAGGATACGTACTATGTAGACAACCGGTTGCGACGCGCTCGGAGCTATTGAGGCTCGTTCAGGAAAACCCTGAGACTGAGACCTCGCATGTGAGTTAACTGATTCAGTATAGTATGTGGTTGATGCCGAATCAGATTCAAGATCGATCATCTCGGTCTTGATCTTATCAAGCAGATCCGCTCCGACGTCGATCACTTCCCTTCGTATGATAGTCTTAACCTAGAAAGGTGCCATTTTGCGAAAATGCAGAACGTCCCACTGGTCCCTGTCGGCATTAAGCTGGCATCAAAACTGCCATCCGATATACGGACTTCATCAATGGGCCGAGCTTAATTTCGCTAAATCCAGACGATGATTCGTTCCCTTAAACGTAACCGAAGATGGGGTGACCTTGCGAGTCCCACTCTACAAATACTACGACCTCGGAGTTACTGGTATGCATGCCAAGACGTCCGGCTACGAGTTTAGATTATCACATACAAAGTCGTTCGCCATCAGAACCCTCCATTCATTTGGGTCTGTGGGGACGGGAGTGGAGTCAACCTAGTATACAAGGCCGTCGGGACTTTGCGACATCCGGGACGCATCATGACACGGGAAGTAGTGGATGGAATAATTGTCTTTTGTAACAGTCTAATATATAGTCTAGTATTTAGAGGGTATTGATGATGGGCTGACAGGCCTACAGAAGTTACAACGTTCAGTTTCAGTTTCTTCTGATTTTTTCAGTTTTACCTTTTGAGTACTGTTCTTTAAGTGCGTGATGAGATCTCACCATCTCTGGGCGGCGGCCCTTGCCCTGACGGGAACGGTCCAAGCCACCACATTGCAAGATGTGTGTACAGTTTCCTTCGCTCGAAGCTCATTGCCGGACGACAGCGTATATCCTGGCGTCTCAATTGACAGGTCTTCTGTGAGTGCAGTGGCAGCCTACAACGTGTCGAGCACAGACCAAGTCTATTGGCCGGGCGCCACGTTCGACTACTGCAATGTGACCTTTGCCTACTCCCACTTGGGACGGGATGACCGGGTAGTGGTTAGCTACTGGATGCCCGCTCCGTCGAAGTTTGCCAACCGTTACCTGTCGACGGGTGGCAGTGGATATGACATCACATTGGGAAGCACTTCCTTGCCCGGGGGTGTCATGTACGGTGCTGTGGCGGGCACAACTGACGGTGGATTTGGTGGATTTGAGAATGGCTCGGACGATGTGTGGCTTCTAGCCAATGGCACCCTCAATTACGAAACGGTCTACATGTTCGGTTACCAGGCCATCCATGAGCTGACCGTCATCGGGAAGGAGCTTACCAAGAAGTTCTTCAATACCTCCTCCATCTATTCTTATTACCAAGGTTGCTCTGAGGGTGGCCGTGATGGCTTCAGTCAGATCCAACGATTTGCAGAGGACTTCGACGGGGCCGTGACAGGTGCCCCTGGCTTCCGGTTCACTTTCCAACAAATGCAGCACCTTTGGTCACCCGTTGTCGAGCAAACTTTGGGCTACTATCCCCCTCCCTGTGAGCTTGAGAAGATTGTGAATGAAACTATCAAGGCTTGTGATGCCCTTGACGGCAAGGAGGATGGTGTTGTTTCGCGAACGGACCTCTGCAAGCTTCACTTTGACGCTAACAGCACGATCGGCGAACCGTACAGTTGTGGAGCTTCCTCTTTGACAACCTACAAGAGAAGAAAGCGATCGGAGACATATGCGCTCCCCGCCCAGAACGGCACTGTTTCTCCCCAAGGTGTGGAAGTCGCAAAAGAAATCATGCGGGGAATGCACGATACGAAGGGGAAGCAAGTCTACTTCTCCTACCAGCCAAGTGCGGCTTTCTCCGACGCGGAGACCCACTACGACTACGATACCGGCTCTTGGACCCTCGATATTACCGAATCAAACAGTGAATGGGTGGAGAAATACATTAATCTCCTTAATGCCACTGAGATGCCTACGCTCAAGAACGTCACTTATGACAACCTGAAGGAATGGGTCCGCATCGGCTGGCAGAAATACGACGACACTCTTCAGGCAACTTACCCCGATCTGTCGCCCTACTCCGAAGCGGGCGGTAAGGTGCTTCACTACCATGGAGAATCTGATTACACTGTTCCAACTGCATCGTCTGTGCATTACTATGAGTCTGTCCGTCGTATTATGTACCCTGACATGTCAACGAACGCAAGCTACGCCGCTTTGGGTGAGTGGTATCGCCTTTTCCTCGTTCCCGGTGCGGCACACTGTGGCCCGGATGACTCCCAGCCCAATGGACCTTGGCCACAGAAGACGCTGGAGACTATGATTCGATGGGTTGAGGATGGAGTCTTCCCTGAAATGCTGAACGCAACGGTGCTGCAGGGTGAGCATGAAGGCGAAGAGCAGAAGCTCTGCGCATGGCCTCTTCGACCTCTGTGGAAGAACAATGGCACCACCATGGAGTGCGTGAACGATCCGGAGGGCATGAAGACTTGGGTCTATGACTTGAATGCTTTCAAAATGCCGGTGTATTAGAATGCTTATGAGGTAACTGGGTCTGGTCCCTTCTTCTCCTGCATTCTGATCCTTCTTTTTCTTTGATCACGCACGATGACCAGCTATGCCAACTCCAGCTTGACTGAGACCTGTATACATATTGATCGTGTATTATTGAGGACACTCGTACGCCTCCTTTTTGTCTGGAAACATGATTTTACTGTGTCCTTATATCTTCTGAACTTGCTCTGGCAAGCTTTCTCTTCTATTCTGTATATCAAGTCAGATTCCTTCATTTGAATGTTTTCCTTTGTCCAATGTGAATACATCCAGTAGCGTAAGTACTTAGTATGTCATCGAAAAACACAGTGTCTTCAAGTTATAGTGAGTAGTAGGTTAATGCTCAATACGCCAGTGCACCATCGAATTTCTTCGGTACGTTAGCTACATGCCTACAGAATCGTCTGTGGCACAATCTTTATCCGGGCTATAATCTCGAGCAGTAAATGACACCAAAGTATACCATCCTGGGAAGTGTCGTACACTCCAGAAGACTGGATCGGTTCAGAAATACGGGACAGCCTTGTTTGTGGCTCAGCAGAGATACCCGCGACGTCAGTAGCGATGCACCGTAGACTAGTGTATTCTGAACATAATCTCTGCAAGCGAAACTTCCCCGCAATGTCCCCATGAGGACATTACATCCGACGATTCTGCCCAAGAGACTGGACAGAATGGGACGCTAGCACAGCGCATAAGCATTAGTGTGCACCCTGCCCATGTGGGCACTTTTCCGTATGCAGAGGTGAGCCCATTTTCCGGGGCCCCGAGTTCGATGACTAGTACTTGCTTGTCAACTTAAAGATCGGATGTCGGAGGTGTTGTTTCGGTATTTCCGGTGCGCTTGGATGACGTACTCTCAGATTCCTGGTTTTCATGTTCGGGAAATTGTGGGGTGAGGAGCAATTTCAATAGTATAAATAGGTCCTGTCTGCATGGTAGGGGAAGAGTAGTCGAAAACGTTATTCAACCTCCTAGACCAAGAACAACACCTTCTATTTCCCGGGCTACACGCGATCAAGCCATCATGTTACCAGGCCCGAACAAGCTGTTCCTGTTAACAGCAGCATTATTTGGACATGCCATTGCTCTACCAGCTACCGTAGATTACGACGGTGAGACCCTACCACACCCAAGTTCATACTGCACCAGTTCCACTAGAACCCAAAACCTTCTAACCCCACTCAATTAGTTCTCCCTAGCACCGGCTCCGTCCTCAACCTCGACGTCGCAGCCAGTAACATCACCTACACCGTGCAAGGTAATGACACTATCCATACCATAGCCGCCAAATACAACGTCGGCGCCTGCGACCTCGCCCGTCTGAACGTCCTCTCCGACCCGAACTTCCTATACGAGAACGAGACCCTCCGAATTCCCGCCCGCGCTACCTTCCCCGACGACTACTCCTGCTTCAGCACGAACAACACCGACGCAACAGCTACATGCATCTACGGTGGCCCTCACGTGTATACCATCTTACCCGGAGATACGGTTCAGAAGATCGCTAACGAGCGGTACAATATCACAACGGATTCGATTCTCAGCTTCACTGCGCAGACGGGCTACATTGCTGCTTTGAACCCCGGTATTTATGATGTGCTGGAGACCGGGCAGACGGTGAAGATCCCGAGTTGTGATAATTCGGCGTGCACGATGGCGGACTTTACGTTTACGTATGGCACGTTGCAGGATTTTGCCACGGCATATAATGTTAGTGTGGGGCAGATCATGTCATTGAACTTGGGGTATAATCATACGGATTATATTGCGCCGCTGGGGGTTGTGTATGATTGTACTTTGTTGGATTAAGTGGGCTATGGGGGGGTCTTGGTGTATGGAATTTCTAGGGCTATGAATTTTGCTTTGTTATAAGCTAAGATTGAGCCTCAAGTTGGGAATGTTCCGGTCAGATACGCGAGTTTTATTATTCGCAGTCTTCTTACAAAGATCATTACCTTTTACTGCAGGTCAGAGTCCTCATAATGTTCAGTTTATATAAACTGAAGATTGCCATTCGTCACAGCTCTAGTTCAGTACTGGCCATGAGATGAGCGGAGTTATTCGATCGTACCGATAACAGGCTCTGCATGGGCCGGCTGATCCTGCCCACTCGGCTTCCGATCTCGGCATTCCTCTCCACGGAGCTGCACCAATTCTGTACTACGATGCCTCCTAGCCTCTTCAATCGATGCAGCAGGGTTCCAGATTGCCAGCGTCAAGCTAGCAATGAACATGACTAGAGCATCCAGAATAATTGCATAGATCTCATGCGTGAAAAGATATCCCTCCCACCCATTCATCAGCTCCATGCTGCGGTAGATTCCCCGCGCTACCATGCACGTGCATGCGATCATCAGGGAAGATGTAATTTTTCGCAGGGATGGATTCCGTGCAATCTGGTATATGGCGCGGTAGATCACGTATTCGAGTAACGTAGTAAAAACGCAGGTTGAGACGAGTTGCCAGATGATTCCTGCTACCATTGTGTAGGTGCCTGACCAGTAGGAAGTGTGTGCGCCGAAAGCAGCACCAGCAATACCACCTCCGACAGCTTGGAGAAGAAGACTCCAGAAGTCGACCGTCATGAAGATTACCAGGTATTGCTTGGGTGTAAGAGGGGATTTATCTTGGCCGATTATGGAAACTATCTGACCGAGAATACCGTAGATACCGGCTGTTGTGAAGGCGGGGGCTGTAGTAGTAGTGCGTCAGTTTGGATCCAGTCTACCGCGACCAATTTTAAGGGATTAACAGACCCATTATCAGAGCAGCAAGCTGCATCTCCAGCAGCCTCACGGAGTATGGACAGCGCCAGGCTACTGTACGGGCGAGCCATCCGGTGAATTCCCCGAAGGCACCTAGTGAGAAGGCCAACCCTAGCCAGAGGCATTTATAGTTGAGTCCTTGCCATACATGAACTGCAAAGAGGCCGGCGAAGAGGACCATGAATATAACACCTGCCACGATAGAAGGCCGGTAACCAAAAGGCGTGACCATGTCCGGGTCGTTTATGAATCGCAATGTGACGTTGCCATGGAATCGGCTGGTCGTTGTTCAATTTGCTCGGGTGGAAAAGTTGTGGCTCAACGGGTTGACGGAGGAAAGGTTTAGGATGGATGGAACGGAAAGAGGTGAGGGGGAGATAGCAGGTCGCAGGATTTCGCTATTATTGGACAGAATTTCACCAATGGCAGGCAGCAAAATACATTCCCATGGTATGCATGGGTTGGATCAAAATCAGCGAGTCCGACTGGGAGCAGCAGGGGTCCCCTGCTAGTCTGGTTAAATTTAGCCTGGGTGGGGACAGACTGCGATACATCTATCATCTACCGCCATTCTTAGATAATATGTTCTTAGCAGTCACCAGGGCGCTAAGCTAAGGTCCACCCAACCTCAGAATATTCCCCGTATATACTTCTATGATAGTCGTCGTCCATAGTGTATTTGGTGGTCCAGAGCGGTATAACGCGTGCGCCGCTCATCCAAGTTCTGATGTGTCTGTCAAACGTCGGCGTGACCATGTGGGACTAACATTGTTATATGAGGAGAAGATGTCTATCTAGTGATCTTATCATTGGAGGTAGACATACGTTAGTGGCGAGCCACCTGGATTGACACCTAAACATTGTTATCCCACTAAATGTAAAACTCACCTCATTCTGGTCAGAGGCAATGAATTTGGTGATGACACTAATGCTTACGCCTGCGCCTGAGACGTACTAGATGATCTGGTTACTGTGCCATATATAAATCTACAAGTGGCAGTGCCGAATGCCTGATCGGGTGGTGATATGGTTCCGAGGCCATGACAGTTTACTACTGTTTCCTGAAAACATGACTTCACCTAAGCCAGGATATGGCAACCATATCGTCAGTAGGCACCCGTAGTGTGTGTTTTCTTTATCGTTCTTCACTAATGTCTCGCCCGGATGCCGAAGCCGACGACTCGTCTTCTCTGTATGTATTGGTTAGTAGGTGCTGTAGGCTTGGAGAAGCACAAAGTTATCCCAACGAATCACACTCCGAGAAGAGTATCGAATATGGTGTTGCTATAGAACCAAATGAAAGCCGGAAATACCTCCAAGGGTACAGCCGACTTTGTCTCAGTACCAGAATAGGGAAGAAATGTGATGACTTACGCCTCATTTTTAGAAAGTCCTTCCGGGGGGATACACTCGAACTGGCGAACATGGAAGTTTTCAGGAGTATGCTCCCACCTTATCACCCCAAGGACACTAACCGCCTCTCTAGCAATCCAATGATAACGAAGAGGGTTGTCGAGGGTTGCATACACGTTTGGGATTATGTTCCCCATCATGGGCCGGTTATGAAAATTCACTTCATCACCATGCAGAATAATTCCCCAATAATTTATGGTTCCCGTGACCCATTGAGGCATCCTCGTCCAGAAATCGCGCAGCCAATGTTCTTTCCGAGCCATTTCCTCCGGAGACTGTTCGCCCTCCGAAGCAACAAAAACGAGGAACACACCAAACCCGCTGTTCCGTGAAACCAATATTATATCCGTCGAATCTATACCCTCGACCGTCGAAGACTTGAACCGAACTTCAATAGAGAAGCCGTCGGGTCGCGAGAAAGTGTTTCGAAATTGGTTGATCCAGTATATAGTTCTCGGATTAGCTGGGATCATGGAACCCGAGGTGCAGAGAACATGGTTGGTAAACATGATGGTAGGAAAGCCAGCATCCAGCTAAGCCCGGTTCAGGAAGAATACTTGATAAGAATATAATTGCTGCATGCGTTCAGATCTGTCATTTATACTGTATATCCAAGCAGGATTCCATATGCGACTGTCAATGTCACTGGGGGTTTCCGTTATTACACTACGGTCTTTGGGCACCATTTGGGACCGACCATGGCCTCTGTTGCTGTTAGAACGCTTCTCACCGATAAGAATCCACTTTCTTAATGAAGTCCAAGTCTGATACATTTAGAAGGTAGAAATGGCTTCTTGAAATCTAGAGCCTATCTTAATGATGGGATTCCCCGCGTGCAGGTGTGTTGTGGGGACATAATGCACTGCCTACAGCATAAACTCATACCAATGAAATGTGAGTTGGTGCGGCGGCGCCCCAGCTTGGCTCGAGGCTAGGATTGTTCCGATCGAAAGTTTGCCAGTGGAAGAATGTGGCCCATCATTCCTCGCCCACACCCCAAATGCACGGTTTTTTCTTGTCTGATATATAGGTAGAAGGAGTGGCTCGCACGCATTCCTGCTACCCCCATTTTCCTCACGATCCGTTGTTGGCACCTATATATATCGTCGAAGCAGTGTACTAGGTACATCAGAAATATCGAATTGATCATAAGTAAAAATAAAGAAGAGAAAGGTATTCATCCCGAGATAATTATGGCAGACGAGAACCCTTATAACTAGACTATAATACGAAGGGCAAACCATTAAAACTATAGTAGTAGTAGTAATTATCCTCAAATTTAGCGCAGCTAGTTATTGGCACTTTGCTGTCACTAATAGTCAGAAAGATTATCTAAGACAGTCTCCTAGTACTCGCTAGTATTTTTCATCTCTGACTAGGTACAGGCAGTATATCATCATATAAGTTTTATATAAGAATTATAATTTTATCTTTCATATAACAGCCCGGTTACTTAACCTTTACTAAGATTTTTCCGGTTTATCAGCCATTGTATATAATAAGTATGAAGGTCTGTAGAGAAAAACTGCACGGGGGGAAAGTCTTAGAATTCTTATTATACTAACTTGGTATAAAAACGGTGAAGGGGAGAGAGATACAAATAGGCATTATACTCCATGACCTCTCTTAATATATTTTGAATATATTCTTCTTCCTGGTACTGGGTGTGTGTCTAGTCTCCTCTCTTCTACTAGTAGTCATAATAGTTGCAGCAGCTGAACCTACTACACTTGCGTATCTTAGCATCAGGAACCTCCTTTTGAGATGTTTCGTAACTGTGTCATTCGGGGTGATTACCACCACACCCTCCGGCCACTAAATAAAAAAGAAATTATTGTGCATCATCCGTGAATCGAACACGGGCCTCATCGATGGCAACGATGAATTCTACCACTAGACCAATGATGCTTGAGCTGCGGACCATTGCGTTATCTGATTCGCTGCTTAATTCAGACCTATATATATCAATATGATTCCTCAACTAGAATCTCAAAAGTTTTGGTACTTCTGGTCACGTGTTTCGATGTTTTCATAACAAGAAGGACCGTCTTACCCCGCATATTGGTTCCTGGTAATGAGTGGAAACAGTTACCAGCTACTCTCCGTCCCTTGGCACCCGCGAATGTCTCCTCGATGGAGTCCGCCGCGAGATACTTTCTTCTCAACTCAATTGGAGCCGGTACCGTGATGGTCAGGTTTGGTCATAGCCAGGTTGGACTTACTTCAAGGCCATCCTCTGGATTGGCCATATTACACTCTCAATGGCATAAATACCGAAGCCGATGGGAGGCGCTGTCCATAGCCGATCTTTAGTGCCATAGCCGATGAGAATGAAGATTTACAACTTATCTTCTAGGGCTCAACTGCTACTATTTCTCATCATTTACGGCTATGGTCCTGTCGGCAAAGGGGTAAAAGTTCATCAGTAGCCCGTATGAGCACGACTTCTCCGCGTAGTATCGGTAATGGATTGTTTCCTGGATAGTCTAGTTTCTCGACCTTGCCTGCCGGTATAAAAAGGTGAACAATTTCTTTCATCAATCTTGCCCATCGTTAGCAATTCTCCAATCTTGACAATAAGTTCCACTCTTTTGTCTATTCATCATTATTGCATCGTTTGTGCTACCATGTCTACCACTTCTACCGTCACTCAAACCGTCCTTTGCTCCAGGCCGGACCTCAAAGTCATTAAAAATGGTTTCGGTGCCGAGATTACTGGCCTGAATTTCACTTACGGTGTCACTGATGAAGCGTTTCGCTTTATTGAGGATGCGGTAAAGAAGGTTGGTAGTAAACTGGTAACAAATTCGTGCGGAACCATACACTGAGACTGTTACAGTATGGCTTTGCCGTTGTCCGTAAGACAAACCTCGTCGATGAGACTCACCTCGAGCTGGCTCGCAAGTTTGGTGAACTTGACGATGTAACCCCGTACAATAAGGCGGGTCGTGTGCACCGCCTCAGATACAACGAGCTCTTTGACGTGGGGAACATCGAACTTGACGGCTCCATTGTGGATCTAAACAGCCCGCGAGGCGAGGCGAATAAGGTATGTAGCAACACTCCCATATAGTACCTGTTCGGAAATAGAGAAAGACGAATAGAACTGACTGTCTTCAGGGTAACTCTCTGTTTCACACGGACTCTAGCTTCAACCCTCGCCGAGCCGGTTACTCTCTTCTACTTGCCCATGAGCTTCCGCCACCCGGGACTGGGGGCTCTACTGCCTTTGCCGACATGAGGGGCGCCTACCGTGACCTTGACGACGATTTCAAGCACTTCCTCCACGAAAGAAACTTCATTGCCCGTCATTCCATCCTGCATTCCAAGAAAATGGCTGCTCCGGAGCATTTCAAGGATGTTAACCCTACGGACCATTTTATGTCCCGCCACTTACTACTGCAAGAGCACGAGCGCACCGGCATTCCCACTATTTACCTAGCCAAACACATCCACTCCCTCGAAGGTGTCTCCCCCGAAGAATCCCACAAGATCCTTGATAGGCTTTTCGAGCACTCCACTCAAGACAAGTACGTCATTGAAGTGGAATGGATGAATGTTGGTGATATGATTGTCTGGGATAATACATGTACAATGCACCGTGCCATCAGTGGCGAGTTCATGACCAAATACAGGAGAGACATGCGGCGTGCTACTGTGCATGATGACAGCAGTTTAGCATGGGGCCTGAATCCCAAGATCGATCAGCGGATGGGGCTCCCTTAAAGCGTCAACGTACTTTGTACCTAGTTTAGGCCAACCTCGCCATTGTCGCGATGAGATTATAGTGTAGACAGCAACATTCAACTTCAAGCACCCGAGAATTGATATTCATACTAATTCTCAGTACGCAGTCACCCTTACGTGGTGATAAGCAGTCTGCTTTATTGTTGTCGCCACAAGCCCGTAAGGCATGGCTTCGGCAATGGTTATCGGCTATAGCCGAAGTTCTCCACATCAACCCCCGCATACCCTTGGAAAGATCTCAATTCTAAAGATCTGTCGGAATCACTACCTATTACCGATGGATAAAAGAATCCGGCAATCATGACTGCCAGTACAGGTAAGAGGTCGTCTCGTGCCTGTCTGCGATGCCGTAAGCGCAAAACCCGATGCGACCTGTAAGGATGCTCTTTACATCTGCCCAAGTTGCGGCTAATACGGCTATAGTGATACCATTGGAGAACCAGGCAAAGCTCCCTGTGTCTTTTGCCATGATACTAAGAGCCAATGTGTCCTCGTCAACTCCAGGCGAGGGGGAAATTTTCGCCAGCATCAGCACAAGTCGGGCACTTCGCGACGGCAGAAGACTCCGCTGCCAACAAACTCCGGAGACTCGAACGGGCCTGACGTGGAACCGGCTAATAGCGTGTCTGATGTGACCGAAAGTTCATCAGATGGTGAAGACAGCGTTGGCAGACAGAATCCTGGAGATGTACTAGCTATGGAACTCCGGAATCCATCTGATGCGCTGCAAATACTAGCCATGTCTGGTCAGGTCCGGTCCGGAAGTCGGCTTCAAGCTCAGTTCACCAGCACGGCAAACTTGGAGGAACAATTGGACGCGGCAGCTCATAGAACAAGCGCGTCAGACACCAACCATTCTCAGGACTCTCAAAGCCACCAGAGACCTTCGGCCACTATATTTGATGATTACGAGTTGGTGAAGAGAGGCGTATTGCGCCCGAGCCTTGTATTTGAGCTACTACATGAGTTAGCCACACTTCATAAAACCTCATCTGTGTCTACTGACAGGGACCAGGTATCACAATAATTATCATCCATATTGTCCGATCGTACCTTCTCATTTGCTGGTTTTATCAAGAATGGGCCAAATTCAACGGTCTGAATACTTTCTTCTCACAGCTATCCTCACCATTGCGTCGAGAGACAATCCCCACCATTCACTCACCCATCGTTATTGCTGGGATCACACCCAACGTCTCCTGGTTGATGTACTCCTGGCACACCCCTGGACCCAAACGCCAGCAACTGTCCAGGGACTGTTACTTTTGGCGGAGTGGCTTCCCCATATTCAAGTTCAAGAAACATCATCTGAATCGTCCAAAAATCTGTTTAGCGAAGATAGAACAGCTTGGTCGCTTGTTGGGCTCGCAGTCCGGCAAGGCTATCTCCAGCGCCTCGACCAGGCCGCCTTTCGTAGTTTTAGTCACAGTGGGTCAAAGCAACGAACAGAGCAAGACAGGATTGTCTGGGCATGTAAGTCTTCATATCTTTGACATTGGCTTTCAATGTATGTCCTAACCTCAGTTCCAGATATATTTATTGCCGATCGTCAGATATCAGTCCGACTTGGGCAGTCATTCTGGTCCCGAGGCCCGTCTCTTGCCGCAGAATTTACCGCCGACGATTTCCCGAGTCTTCAGCCTCGTCCGGAGAATAACAATGAGGACTATGCATCGTGGCTGCAAGCCTCTATGGAGCTGATACAAAACTTGCATAATGCTCATGCAATTCTTTACTCATCCAAAGACCGAACATTGGCAATGGTCTATGAAGGTGATTACGCCCGGTATCTTGATGACTTTCGAACTTCCGCAACCACGTGGCGCTCGACATGGGGCAATCTAGCTGTGTCCGCTAAGATAAGGACAACTCTTCTTATCATGTACCAGTATATTTGCCTTTACACGAATGCCTTTTCCTTCCAGCGGTCCTGACGAGGGCTTCTCGCCCATATGGATCATCCAACAAGGGACAGCAGAATGAGCGCCCATTTGCCGACATATTATCCAAAGGCATCATGGCATCCCCCGATGGTCGGTACATGTTTGATGCTATTAGCGCAGCGAGGAATTTGTTGGCTCTGATGAATAGTCTTGATCCGCAACATGTGCTATGCTACCTACCGCTCGTTATTACTTGTAAGGTTTTTTACCATCCAGAGTTACCTACTACTTACACCTATTTGCAGATATGGTGTCTATGCAGCAGTCCTACTGCACAAAGCAGACCGAGCAGGGGCGTTCCAATCCAAAGAACAGCACCAAGAGATTACCACCTTAGCCCAAAAATTCACATCTGTTCTGGAAAAGGGAGCGTCGACTGAATCACACATCTGCCACAGTTACAGTCGGATGCTAAGGCAACTATGGAACCGACGGGAAAAGAAGAATACTAAAGCTTCACGCAACCAAGGTAACATAGAATTGAACCTTGGTGACCAGCACAATCTCTCAACTACCCCACAATCGTTTCTATTGGCTCAAGAGCCCGATAATCAGACATTCGCCGATGGCACCTTGGGCGACGCTTGCATCTCACAACAGATAAGCCCTCTACCAATGGAAAATGATGTGTCAGAGTTTCCCTCTGTTGAGGGATATTTCTTTGGTTCGTTTATGCCTGGTATCGCTGACTTTAGCACTCCTAATTTCGATGAATACTTGGCCCAAGAATACTCCTTGATCGGTGGTGCAGATGGTCCCCAAAACTGGAACTCAGTAGATACTAATGTGGATTCTCACATTCTTGATTTGTAGTACTACAATGACAACAGTATTTATTATCGTGGTGCGGGTCACTGCATCGTTTTGGATTTCACGGAATCCCGACCCCTAGCACATTCATGTGACCTTGCCTATCCAACACACTTCATGTAGTTTGGATATTGCGCGTTATTGGAAAGAAAGTGACAATTTTTTCTAAATTTTCAAGAGCTCAATCATGATAGGATACTTCGGCAAAGGTCCCGCAAAGCTTCGCGCCCGCGATAAATGCTAGTCCCGCCTAACATAGATAGCGTCGGACATCCCGGTTTTGCCCATGGCTAGCCCTAAGCGGCCCATAACGCCATCACGTTTCGCGGGCCATGTGGCCCGACAAGCTCTTTGGCCTCCCATGTTTGGATGCCACTAGTCTGGGCCACCGGGCTACCTGTCTTAGCAGCAGGAGAGAAGGCCAGTTATACACACGAATACCACATCTAAGCTTATTCTATCTTTTCCCATACATCGCCCAATGGCCGAAAATAAAGTGTAAAGAGTGATGCCTAAAATGCTTCCGTCTACGACAGATGTCTTTTTTTTTTTTTTTTTGGCAGAAATGGGGGAATTTACTCATATTAGATAACGGTTTAGATGGGGTTATCACCGCAGGAACATGGGGAGCGGGGATTCCTGCTGAGCCGTAGGTTAGTGTTGGTAATATCCCGCTGTCTCAACCAGAGCGGGGTTGAATTCCCCGGCTATATTGATTGCCACGCTGGCCAATCATATTGTGAACTCTAATTATCTCTTCGTAGCCTGCTTGATAAGAATTAGTCCGTCAATATCCGCTTCCCACTTACCGTTCCTGCCAGTGAGGGTACCTCGCATGCCATGCTTGACCTGCATCCTGCAGTCTCTTTGAACGACGCCACCAGCATGAAGTGATAAGCATACAAGCCAATTGCATGCGTGTGCCGAGGGATGTGGCACAGAAACTTCGTCACGGTCTCATTGGCGGGATGTCTTGCGTTCTTAAACGATTGGCGCCGCCCTAATGCAAGCGGAATGCAAGCGATAGCATCAGGTGCGTGTGTGTTATCTTGCACCAATATGGTGTGCTAAAGCAAAACGCATTCGACACCTTCGTGCTTTCAAAATATAAACAGAAGGTTAAATTTATATAACAGTGCTCCTGAGGAAGCTTCCATCTGTCAATTCAAGACTTTTACACATCATTCGTACTCTCCCATGTATCCTTAGATTGACCCACCTTAGGATACGGACAAGATGGCCGACTACAGAGAGCCCATCTCCTTGAGCAGCCAGTCTGATAAGGAAAAGGCTAAAGCAACGGGTACCAAGATCGATGAGTCCGATCTGCAATCTCTCTTAGATCAATTGCGGCAGATCGTGGCTGAAAATGAACTTGACGTCAACTTCCCTGTTCAGATCATCGCTCAGGCGCGCGAGATCCTCGACGCCGATACCAAGCATATTGATCTCTCTCAGCTGCAGGAGGTTATGTCAGATATCGAAAAGCATCGTGACCTCATTGAGAATGACTCTCCCTATCCGGAGGTCCGCGCTGTGGTCGACCCAACTGATGACCCTGAAATCTCGGCCAATACTTTCCGAGCCTGGTTCCTGGGCATGATAGCTACCATCGTCTTCACGGGGGTCAACCAATTCTTCACCCTGCGCTATCCCACTATTGTCATATATTCCATTGTCGCTCAATTGCTGTCCTACCCCTGCGGGGTCTTCATGGCCAAAACCCTGCCTACGCGCCAGTGGAACCTGTTTGGCTGGAAGTTCAGTCTGAATCCCGGCCCCTTCAACCAGAAGGAACACATGCTCATCACTGTTATGTCTAATGTCTCCTTCGGCGGTACCAATGGCACAGCCTACGTGACGTACATCTTTCAGGTGCTGAAAGCCAAATCCTTCTATAACCTGACGTCGCTGTACGATCAAGCCGGTTTCCAAATCCTCGTTACGCTATCCACACAACTACTGGGCTACGGCTGTGCCGGCGTGGTACGCCGATTCCTAGTGTACCCACCGTCCATGATCTACCCGAAATGCCTCTCAACCATCGCTCTGAACAAAGCCCTACACAGTGATGAAGGTCGCGAGCGGGTCCACGGCTGGAAGATCAGCCGATACCGCTTTTTCATGTACTGCTTCATAGGCATGTTCTTCTACTACTGGTTCCCGGGGTATATCTTTCAAGCCTTGTCGTACTTCAACTGGATCAACTGGATCGCCCCGGATAACGTCAAGCTAGCCATCATTTGTGGGACTATCACCGGGCTTGGCCTCAACCCCTTACCCACTTTCGATTGGAACATCATCTACGCACTCTACGACCCGATCATCTATCCCTTCTACGCATTGGCCAACATTGGTATCGGCACTATCCTGGGAGCCTTCTGCGTCATTGCCCCCGTCTACTTCAGCAACGTGTGGAAGACCGCTTATTTCCCCATCATCAGCAACGATGTTTTCGACGACACGGGCAACACCTACAATGTCACTCGCGTGCTTAACAGCAAGGGCGAATTCGACCTAGAAGGCTATGAAGGTTACAGTCAACCGTATCTGACGGCCGGGTACTCCGTCATGTTCTTTTTCTTCTTCGCCATGTACTTGGCAACTATCGTGCACGTCGCACTCTACAACCGGCGCGAGATCATGAAGGGATTCCGCGCCCTATGGAAATGGGCTAGTGCGCGAGAGGAGCACGAGGACGTCCACAATCGCTTGATGAAGCAATACAAGGAGGTCCCGGAGTGGTGGTACCTGGTTGTTCTGGCTGTCGCGTTCGTGTTCGGCTGCATTGGCGTCGCCAAGTACGACACCGGCATGCCCATCTGGGGTATCGTCTTCGCCATCATCCTCTGCCTCGTGCTGCAGATTCCATACGGCATGGTCTACGCCATCACCAACTCTGAGGTAACGAACAACGTTATTGCCGAGTTCATTGGAGGATACGCCATCACCGGCAAACCCGTCGCCAACCTCCTCTTCAAGGCATTCGGATACATCGCCTGTGCCCAATCCATCCAGTTCGTGGCTGATCTAAAGCTGGGCCATTATATGAAGATTGCCCCGCGAGTAATGTTCGCAGCCCAGCTGGCTGCCACTATCGTCGGTGCATTTGTCTCCCTTGGAGTAAATGTCTGGGCCCTGGCCAACATCGAGGACGTGTGTTCCACCACCCAACCGGACAAGTTCACCTGCGCCAGTAAGTCACCCTATCCCACAGTTTGATCTTTCCTCCCACACTGTCCCGCATTTCCCATTTTCTGATCACATAAAACAGGTGCTCGAGACTTCTATACCTCCTCTGTAATCTGGGGCGCCATCGGCCCACGCCGCCTCTTCGGCACAGGACAGATCTATAACCCACTGCTATACGGCTTTCTCGTTGGCGCCCTCCTTCCCATCCCCTTCTACTTCATCACCAAATGGCGCCCCCGCTCCATTCTCCGATACGTTTATATTCCGCTGGTATTCTACGGGATCTGCGATATCTCACCGTACAATGTCACGTACGCGTGGTGTCCGATGGTGGTGGGCTTCATCTTCAACTATTGGATCAAGAGACGGTGGCAGGCGTGGTGGGAGAAGTATGCGTATGTTTTCACGACCGCTATGTCGTGTGGAGTGGCTATCTCTGCCATTATTATCTTCTTTGCTGTCGAGTATAAGGAGGTCGATTTGAATTGGTGGGGGAATGAGGTCTCGTATGCTGGGTGCGATAATGATGGGTGTACGTTGTTGGCGATTCCGGAGGGAGGGAAGATCTGAGGTTGACTCTTTCTTTCTTTCTTTCTTTGAAATTGTATGTGGTTTTTTGTGTGTTTCATCGATGAAGGAGATGTGTGTATGTATGTAGAGGATAGTAGGAAGCAATAAGAGGAAGCATGGTGATGCATGTAGGGGCAAAGATCCGAAGCAAAAAAAGGTCAAAAAAATGGGCGACACAATATTTCAGAGTCTAAGGCAAGGTCCTGATACGGATCGAACACGGAACCTCTCAACTAAGTGACATGAAAGACCCGACGCGAGTGATTAACCGTTAGACCACCCAGGTTTGCCCTGAGAGAGTGACACCGTGAAAGGTTTATGAGTGGGCCTACTTGTCTTGGGTCACCGCCTTGGGCAGGCTGCAGCTTGTTGATAGTGAATGGATTCGGGGTCATGTGGGTCATTTTGGGAGGGGGTATGGTGTCACTGTATGTATTGGTACCATATTCAGCTGTAGCAGACTACACGGGCTGGCTATATTGTAATTGGTGATCTGGTAGGAGAAGGGGGGAAGGCCCTCTAGTAGATGTTAGCTACTGTATGGAGCGTGATATGACCTTACAGATAAGGACGGTGCGGATATTATATGGAATTAGCAGTTCCTTTCTACTTGTATATATATATTAGATAGGTTTTTGAGGTGGTCCATTGTAATCGAACACCTTTTGTCAGGTTTCGTCCTCGAGTAATTGCCAGGTTATTGAGATTTCGATCTGATAAACGGAAGGGACGGAACTGGACGATAAACTTGATTGGGGTTTTACTATTTATACACTTTCTCCTCTCTAAGCCTCTCCAACCGCTTCAACTTCCCTCGGAGATGCCCGATCTCATCCTCCAGCTCCTCCCTCGAAGCCACCCAATACTTCAACTTCAATATCGCCGCAGAAATCAACAAAAATCCAATAGACACCAACGGAGACCACTGTCCCACTTGCTGCGGCGTCTCCTGTGATGGTCCATCTTCGTGGATATAATACTCAATCCACACTACAAAAGCAATGACTGTCAGCGGGCTCACGATAATGCTAAACACCAACGCACACAGTATTATAGTATCGAGAAGAAGCCTCAGCCACGAGCCCAGGGCGTGTAAGATAAAGAGACCCCCGGTAGGTCTCCACACAGAGAGCTTCTCCCTCGTTGAATCCATAAAATCGGTTCGATGAAGTTGAGACACGTATATTGCGGAGCGGAAGTCCTTCCTTAATCCATTGAAGATGTTCTTCCTCTCGATCCAA